TCAAGGTCTTCCACTGCCCCTGAGAGGAGAGTGGAGGAGGAGGAAGGCGGGCATGCTCTCCGCTCCTATCTGAACAGTGGGTGCCCAGGCTGCAGGCCCAGGGTCCGGAGTCTGTCTGGCCACAGGACCATGTCACCACCAGAGCCGCTCCAAGACCCCCCTCCAGCTGTTTACACTTGTTTTCGGTCCCAAATTTCTCAGGAGGAGTTATAATGTGTTGCTAGTAACAGTTTATGTACCCAAATCTGACGATTCACTTTTTAAAAATAAGTCAATAGAGCAAATTTAGGGTCATCCCTATAATGTCATCCCCGGTCACCTACATCCAGACAGACGTTCCTGAGTGGGACTCAGAGGTAGAAATTACAGCTCATGTCAGTAAACCTAACTCTGCTACAGCCCACAGAAATCGACCACCACAGATTTTTAAAATAATGTTTAATACCTTAGATTTGCCATATTTATTTATTTTTCCTGGAAAAACAAAAATTTCCTGAAATCTCTAAATGGCTAGTTTCATCGCCCCTCTGCTTGTAAAACACTTTCATGAACACAGTATTAAAATCAACTTTATTTCCCCACCGAGTGCTTTGAATTTTATAAAATAAATATATGTGTGTGTTATATTTTCTACATATGCACGTACACGCATCCATATGTGCATGAGGGTACACAAAGAAATGCATTGAGCACATGACTGTCACCCTTCAGAAATGTCTCGGTGGGGGGAAAACATGAGAACAGCTCTCCACAGTACAGCAAGTGCTCTAACCACAAAGGTACAGACACGGGGAGACTGCCAGGAAGCCGCGTGAGGGGTCTCTAGAAGACAGGCAAACTAGCCGCAGCTCTTCTTAGAGAAGCTCAGACCAGCTTCCTGAATCCACCGAGATATCAATGGCCTTTTGATTACCAGCCTCTGGTTAAGTGACTTAAAATCCAAAGAGAAAATCCAAAGGTGTCCAGGTGGAAGATGTATGAGCTCCCCAGGGAGGGTGGAGATCACATGCACGACAGGGAACCCCCTGGGCAGGGCTCCGTCTCAGCCTTGAGGACAGACCTGGGGGTACTGATAGGACACAACTACTGAGACACGGCCTGGATCTCAAGTGTGCAGCGTCTTTCCTTTTAAGAATCCGGCACACTAAAAAATACTAAATCCTAGGGGAAGTGATAAAGTAGAAATTACCGTCATCATTTACAAAAACATTCTTTGTAGTCTGGCATTCTTATGGAGGATGGATGCAGGGGAAGGACAGAAACGATGATGACAAAAAAGCAAACAAAAAAACCCTATATCTTCAAGTCACAGGAAGAGACGATGGCAGAAGAGCCTTCCATCAGAAAGAACCTGGCATCGAAGACCAAAAAGCTGAAATTCTAGCTTAGCCCAAACCCGAAAGCGTGGTGCAGAGCAGGTGAGCAACAGTGCTGCTGAGTACCGAGGCACCTGCTGCATTGAAACAAGCAGACATGTAAACGAAAACTTAGGTATTGCTTCCTTCAAATAACCTAAAGTCGTATGACTAAAAGGACTCTCAGGAGGTTACTTAAGCCCAGTTTCTGTGTCCAAGCATGACAGGAACTGAGTTACTCCGGGCAGACGACTGTCCCCCCCTTCTTAAACACCTATGACAGGCGGGACCTGATGCTTCTGGAGCAGAGTAGGACCCAGCTCAGAGCCTCTGCGTCAGCCTGAGCATGTGTCCACCCAGGGGGCGAGAAAACTCGGCTCTGCAGCAAACTTACAGAAGGGTCTGAACAGGTCCGGGAGAACCTGCAGGCCAGGACTCTGGAGAGTGGTCAAAACTCTGCCCTAGGAGGCAAAGCCTAGCGAAGTACAAAGGAGAAAAAGTAACCCGCCATTTTAACTTTGGCAAAGAGTTTCGTCATGAACGATCAGAATTTCAACTGGGAGTTTAAAGAATTTATCAAGACTGGTCCATTCACCAATCTCCAGCCCTGAGAATGTTACGAAATCATAAAGCAACTATCTTACCACACAGTAGGAGTTGCTGGGTTGGTTTTTCTTGTGGGGGGGAGGAAGATTTAAGGGACAAGAGAAGGTAACATGCAGTGTCACTGCTTGATAGAATCAAGACAAGGGGATGGCTACGTATACAAACGTGCTCTTTAGAAACTACAAGACTATCCTCACCACAAAATCACAAGCCAGTTTTTACCATCCAGAGAGGACAGAAATGAAACCCAGGCCCTCCTTCCCCAGCAAATAAAGCAAAACAATAATACAGACGCCCAAATGCGTCCACCTGTCAACGTCATTTGCACTGTACTGAATACTCGACAGAGCTGCTGTCATAACTCACTTTTTAAATAAGGGGGGAAATTTTTCCAAAGCGATCGTCTCTTTCTAGAGACGAAGAATAAGCGTATCTGCCTTCAGCATCCCATGCCGGCCCTTTTAGTTTGAGCACAGGCAGCTTCCATTAAGGAACTTTTCACTCAGCTGAAAACAAAAACAAAAATAGCACAGCAGGGTGTTCTCCCAACCCTGAAATATCCTGTTCCTCCAGACCTGACTTCGAGCTCCACAAAAACCACCCCCCCTAGGACCCCCCACACACCCCTCCCACACCCCAGGCAGAATTCTTTTCTCTGAATAATGAGGGCTCTCTCACGCTCCAAACCAGGCAAGGCTGCACCAAATCACATACCATATTGTACGTTTGCTAAACATACAGCCTTAACGCTGTTTGCCTTTTCTCCCCCAAATAAAATATACAAATTACTTGAGAAGGCTTAGTTTTAGTCTTCGACTAAAACTGTCCCTCCTGAGCATCCAGGAGATGGCTAACACACACGGCCTGAGGGACCTCCCCGGCGGAGGGTGTCTCGGGCTGAGGGCTATGAGGCTTTCTGTGGGTGGCGGCTCCACCCGTCACTTCCCCAGGCCCCTGTGACTCTCGTCCAGCCTGCTGCCATTTCACAGCAGCTTGTCCTGTGCCCACAACCTGCCACACGAGCCCTCACTAGCCCCCCGGCGGGCTCCTCTGCCTGACGCCCCCCCAGCGCCACTCCCAAGAGGCAGAAGCAGCTCACACAAGGCCACGCGGCTCGGCTGGTGCCCTCATTTAATCAGGCTGCTGCAAATGGTTAGCCAAAAGCAATGAGGGCATGACTGAGAGACTGTGGGAGTTTAATATGAAAAAATTAATAAAAAAAAAGAGGGGTCTACCTTTAATAGGGCCGTAATTACCCAACTCATAGGATCAGCCCAAATGAGATGGGAGTTTATTTTGAGGTTTTTTTTAATTATTGTTTTCTTTATATATATATAAATTGCTGCTATGTGTTTTCTTTCCTCTGAGCAATTATGCAGCAAGTGCGTAAAGAGGAGAAAAAATATTAATTAAATATAAGGTAATTGTAAAGTTGGCCTGGAGAGAATGAGTCTGAACTCTGGACAATCACAGGCTACTAGGGTTTGAAGACTGCTCAGGGCCTCCCAGAAAAGAAAGAAATAAAAATACAACCAACCAACCGGCGGATGCACAGTACAGCAGGAAAAGGGAAGAGCACAGAAACGTCAGCAGAGCAAAGGGCGGCTGCAGGGCTCCGAACGCCCAGAACGCAGCGAGGCTGCCAGTGCGTCGCGCTCACTGCTAGAAAGATCCTCCAAGGTTCTGTCCAATCGTGCCCCCCTAGAATGGACTGGCCACTCTTCCAGTGATCAATAGTTAAATCAGAAGATGGAAATTTAAAACGAGACTGAGGAAGTAAAGGGTTCCAGAGGACTACCGTGTTCGATGCGGACTTTAGTCCAAAAGCGGCCGCAAGCTCAGCCCGAGGGGCACTGTGGCAGGCCCCGCGGGAAACACTCATGCTCCAGACCTAAGAGACTGGCAGAGCAGCGTCTCCTCTGGCTCTCACACCGGCGTGGCTTCAAGGAAGAACCCAGGCAACATCAAGGGAGTGAAAGGGAGCCGCGAGGGGTGGGGGGGGAGGGTTGGGGGGACAGGGACCCGTACTTGGTGACACGGTGACAGTAGTACTTTCCTGAAACAGTCCCGCAGGGCTTGTACCACCCTGGCATTTCTACAGCTCAGTCAAAACCAACTCATCTTCTGCCTCGGAAAGCCTTAGGACAGGCTAGAATGCAGACTCGCTCACCCAGCTAAGGACCTCATGTCGCCTCCCCCGGCTGCTGCCAGAAGGAGAGGGAAGAAAATCTGGGAAACGCCAGGCCCTGGGGAAACGGCAGCTTGGCGGCACCTCCCTAAGCTTGCTGTCACTATTCGAAGAAAGAAAAAGCTCAAAAAAAAATTTCGGCCTAAAGCTGGCCCCGCCATAAAACTTATCTAGTTCGTAGAGAACAGGTCTCACTATCCAGCCAACGGGACTGACAGCAGGCCCTAAAATGCACACTAGGATGAAAATGGGGCAGGCGGGCAGGGATTCCAGCCCAGACCACCAGAGCAAAGCACTTTGTAAAGAAAATTACCCTCGGTACTTAGTAGGCCTCTTCCCCGTCAATAGTACAAGCAGATAATGTTGGTAACAGATATCACAGCCTAACTACTGACCAGGCAAAAGCGGGGCTCCCTCCCTCACTCGTCTTTCAAAGGCCACTTGAGGTGCCCTCACCCTGCCAGGCAGAGAATGGCTATTCCAGACAGTCAAGAAGCAGACTGGTTAGGCCCAGCAACCTGACTCCAACTCAGCCCCCCAAGGTTTCAGGCATCCCACTAATTACTACTGACCAGCACCAAACCAAGTGGTACCTCACCAACTGGGATGGATGCTTTTAGTTCCAGAAAAGACCAGGCTATACTAAGGAGATCGCACTCACCCCTAATGCCAGAAATGCAGAGGTCATTGACGGGGTTAGTCTCCATACAACATCTGCTTTTGAAGGGACACTACTGATGTGAAACTGTAAGATCATACAGTTTCTTTGAACTCACACCATGTTAGAAAATGTTGCATATGTAATTATTATAGTTATTAGAAAATGATGCATATATAATTGGGGTTCTTACCAGTGGCTCTCGAGGCATCACATTTTCACTTCCTGGAGTAGAGCTTGGCTGTGAAGAAAAATATAAACAAAAATAAGATCACAGTGCCACCTGATGGATATCAACACCCAAAGATGTTCTATTCCCAGGCAACGCACACAAGCCTCTTTCTCATATTTCTCGCTGTTTTTCTCATACTGCAGAGTGTGCTGGGCGGGCTACACGTAAGAAGCGGCCCAAAGAGCCTGCAGCTGCCAGCAAACATGAAGAGACTGCATCACTGTCACGGCACCTCAGGAAGGCTGGGCTTGGCTGAGGAAGGCCCAAGACCAGCAGCTGAGTGGCAGGGGCTGAGGGCCATCACGAAATCCAGGGAAACAGCGAAGTCCAGAGGAAAGACTTCAAGTGAGAGCAAAACTTCCTTTTCGCCACCTCCGCAACGTGCTGAGCAGGAAAAGCAGTGAAAGTGAAGAACCAGATGCAGCCACCAGGGGGCCCCAGTTGCCCACATTTGGGATTTTCTCTGGGCATATATTTTTATATTTGCCAGGAAGTGAGAACTATCCACGCTGGTTCCTATACCAGCCACTGAGGACACCAAATTCAGTAGAAAAGCAAGTCAGGCTTAAATCCATTTTTAAAATAAGCTAGTGATAGGTGATAGATAAACAGACCAACCAGCAGGTGGGCAGCACTGTGGCCCACACGCCTGGCACTGGTCTGTGTCCTCTGGACCTCTCTCCCTCACCCTTACAAGTGCCTTTGACCCTTGGCTGATCTGACCGACATTCAGAGAAAGAGAGAGACAGAGACAGACACATTCAGAGGGAATTTAAAAATCTCCAAAGAATAAAACAAGCAGTTTGCGAGTCGTGATTAGTTTACTGTTACTGATGTTCAAACCAATTTCCAATTATCTACAGATAATACCCAGGCAAGTGCAGCTAATACGCAGGTCTCAGCAGCCAGGAGCCAGCCCCCAGCATCCATTCTCCTTCCAGCTAGTTCAGATGGCAGTTCCAGGCCTCCTGGGAAGGACAGAGAGTGGAACAGAAAGAGTCCACTCCACAGAGGGTCCCCAAAGATTTCCTTACACCCAGCTGCCACCACATGGCGGGCACACAGCACAGGAGCAAGGACTCTGCTGGAAGAAGGATGCCATCTCCCTATCCAAAGTCCTGTCTCAAGAGCTCCTTCCTGTCTGTCCTTCCCTCCCTTCCTTTTTCCCCTCCAGGTATCAAATAAGCTCATGCGTTTAGATCTCTGGCCCAGACCCCTCTGAGTTCTACATCCACTTGCCTTCCTGCCTGCTCTTGGACTTAAGTCCGCAGCAGATTCATAATCCTCTCCCTCTGCCATACATCCTCCCTCTGAGTGAATGGGACAACCTTCCACCAAAACGTGCAAACCAGAATCCAAAGGGCCATGCTCGACTGCGCTTTCTCTGTCGTCACCTGCCAGAGCTGAAGCATTATCGAGTCCTGCCAGCATTCCTTCCTAAACATCCATGGAGTCAGTCCACTCACGCCTCTCCACACCCACGACAGCTCAAGCTTCCAAACTCTCCCTCCCAGGCCACTGCAACAGCCTTCTGATCAGTTCCCCACCCACGCTGGCTCTCTCCCAATTCATTTCCACACTGCAGACTATCACTTCGAAATGATAATCTGATGATCTCGCCTCCCACCCACCCCGGTCAACGACAACTCTGATATAGGAAAAACTTCCCAGGGTGGCCTGGTGCGTCTACTCTGACTATGCCTTGGGGCTGTGTGGCACCACGTGCCCCAGCTCTGCCCTCAACAGACATGCTGGCCCTACACATGCTGTTCCTTCCTCCCCTCTGACAGCCTGACTCGTCCTTCGGATGTCGGCTAAGTCACTTCCTTGGGGAAACATCCCTTCTCAGACACCCGCGCCAGGGTCAACTCTCTCGGCTACACACAGCACCCTACACCACCCCTTCAAGGACTGAGCAGAACTTTAACGTCACGTGTGTGATTCTCAGGTTGATGTCTGTGTCCCTCGCCAGATTATAAACTCCAGAACTGCCTTTGCTTTTCACGGTTCCCCTTAGGCCTAGGATGGTATCAGGCACAGATCAGGCTTCCCACAGATACCTGCTGAATGAACTAACAGGAGACACAGAGAACAATGCTTCGAATGCAACTGAATGGATATATAGTAAAGTTCATTATCTTCCAGAGGGCTTCCTTGCTCCATTTCGTAAATACTAAGTGCTAACGCTTATTTATCTCTTTCTTCATTTAATTCTCACAATAAATTTATGAAATGATTGCTGATGAGAAAACTGAGGCTAGGGAGGTTAAATAACTCACCCATGATGACTCAGCTGATAATTGTACTCGAGGGATCTGAACCTTTGCACTTAATCAAAATAATCGAATTGTTCTGTTTAGACCACATTTTATGAAGCAACAACCTTAAAGCTATCCCATAAATAATAATGTAGGTTTTTTGACTAGATAAAACAAACTAATGCAAACAACTTTAACATTTAGGTCTCCATTCTGACTTAGTCCAAAACTTTCTTCCTGAGACCACAGTGAATCATCACCAAGGAACTTCCCCTAAAATTAGTTTAGCTCTTGAATAGCTCATATTTGCCAGGGGGAAAACTTTAAACAATATACAGTACCAAGTCAGTCTCTTTTATCATATACCTTTTTGCACCTTTTAAAATTGTGAGCCATGTAAGCATATTCTGCTTTTTGTTAAATTAAATATTAAGAAATTTAAAAAGGAAGCTGTTGTCTCATCCTAACGGTCAGGCCCTCTTTCTCCAGGGACCCGCCACTGATGCTGGCTTCTTAGATATTCCTGCGAGGATATGCAAAGGGTATAAGCATGTCTATGTGTACATGTCCCCACCAAGGAACTTCAAACAGCAACTCTCTAAATTCCTCAGGGTTTGACCTCCCAGAGCCTTCTGGGGTACCAGTACACCAAAGCCAGACCTCCAAGTTCAATCTCCGGGCTACAAAGAGAGGCGCAAGCATTTCCCCAAGCGGCATACCAACTCAGTGCTGTGTGAGGTCAGTCTGACCTTATCGGTGAACGCACAGAGGACTTCTTGAGAATTGCTCAATAGTAATTATATTCTAGATGATTCTCCAGCTCGTGTTGAAATATCTGCAGTCTAAAGTGGTCCACCCCCCATTTCCTGTCTCAGCGTCCTTTAGACAACTGTTTCTTGATGACCAAAAGAGCCTTACTACTTTTCATCCTTACCACCGTCCATGTTAATTGATAATACCATCTGAAATTCCTCATTAGATAACTAGCTTATTATCTATCTCTCTGCACGAGATTTGAAGCTCCTTGAAAGCAGGCACTTTACCACCTTATCGACAGCTGATCTTCACAGGTACTCAATAAATACGTGCTTAAATTTTTTTGAATTTAAAAAATTAAAACAAAGGAACCGCTTTGTATACATAAGCCCAAATGAAGCAAGCAGAGGACACCAGCAGTTTCTTTCCC